TTCAATAACGAAAGTCAAGGCTTGAATTTTTTCTTCAGTTCCCCCAGCTTGAGAAATGCTGACCGTGTTCTTCCTTTTCAGTTTTCTGACTCCAGATCTTTGCACATTTTGTTGTAATATTTGGCTTTATCTTCTTGAGCTGATCTTTGAAATTTTTTGTTCAGCTCTAGGACCTCCTCATTTCTTCTATTTGCTTTAGCAACACTATGCTGGAGAGTAAGTTTTAGTGTCTCTTCTGACATCCATTTACACGTTTTCCTTCTTTCTTGTCTTCTCAATGACTTTTTGCTTTCTTCATGTATGATGTTCTTGATGTCATCTCACAACTCTTTTGGTCTTCGGTCTTTAGTGTTTAATGTATCAAATCTGTTCTTCAGGTGATCTCTAAATTCAGGTGGGATATATTCAAGGTCATATTTTGGCTCTCATGGACTTGTTTTCATTTTCTTAAGCTTCAGTTTGAATTGCATATGAGTAATTGATGGTCTGTTCCACAGTCTGCCCATGGCCTTGTTTTTGCTGATGATGTGGAGCTTTTCCATCGTCTATTTCTACAGATGTATTCAATTTGATTTCGATGTATTTCATCTGGCGAGGTCCATGTGTATAGTCATCTCTCATGCTGTCTAAAGAAGGTATTTGAAACGAACAAATCATTGATTTTGCAGAATTCTATCGTGCATTCTCCAACATCATGTCTATCATCAAGGCCATATTTTCCAACTACTGATCCTTCCTCTTTGCTCCAAACCTTTGCATTCCAATCACCAGTAACGATCAATACATTTTGACTGCATATTTGATCGATTTCATACTGAGGAAGTTGGTAGGACTCTTCTATTTCATCCTCACTGGCTTTAGTGGTTGGTGTGTAAGTTTGAATAATAGTGGTATTAACTGGGCTTCCCTGTAGGTGCATGGATATTATCCTATCACAGACAGTGTTGTACCTCATGACTGATCTGGATATGTTCTTTATGACAATGAATGCAACAGCATTCCTCTTCAATTTGTCATTCTCAGCATAGTAAACCATGTGGTTGTCAGATTCAAAATAGCTAATACCAGTCCATTTCAGCTCACTAATGCCTAAGATATCAATGTTTAGACGTTCCATTTCATTTTGACAACTTCCAATTTTCCCAGATTCATACTTCGTACATTCCATGTTCTGATTTTCAATGATGTTTACAGCTGTCTCTCTTCATTTTTAGGTGTACCCCATCAGCAAATGAAGGTCCCATGGGCTTTTCTCCCACGGGCTTTACACCATTCCCATCATCAAGGGCAGCTCTTCCCCAGTTGCATTTTGAGTGTCTTCCAACCTGAGGGGCTCATTTTCAAGCACTATATCTGGCAGGGTTTCTCTACTATTCATACGGTTTTCAGTGACTAAATATTCGGAAGTAGTTCGTCATTCTTTCTTCCTAGTCTGTCTTCGTCTAGAAACTCATCTGTCCACCTGTCCACCATGGGTGATCCTGCTGGTATTTAAAATATTGGTGGCATAGTTTTCAGAATCACAGCAACTCACAAGCCAGCCCAGTACGACAAAGTGACAGACAAGTGGTGGCAGTTCGGTTTTAAGTGGAAACTTGAGTCTTACATTAGTACACGAAATGGAGCCCCAGTGGCGCTTTAGGTTAAAAAGCATTGGAGTGCTAAACCATAGGCTAGCAGTTCAAACCCACCAGGCACTGGATGGGAGGTAGTTGAGGTTTTCTGTTCCCGTAAAGATTCCCAGTCTATTAGGCATCACTATGAGTCAGACCAACTTAATAGCAGTTGATTTTGGTTTAGTGTAAGAAAAGTCTCAAATCTTTTTCAAATACTTAAAAGCTACACATGTAGCAACTAAAGGTAATTGTGATAAAGAAACTGTTGTCAGTAGGGGTTGGTTCAGACCCCTGGTGTGGCACTGGAGGATAAACACTGGACTGCTAACCAAAAGGTCAACAGTTCAAACCCACCAGCTACTCCTTAGGGACCCTATACAGGTTCACTATGAGTCAGAACCACCCTGATGGCACTTAACAGCAGCAACAAAAGGCAAGTAGGAGGTGTCTGTATTGAATGTTCATAACCAAGGGATTGCCTGTATTTTTTTTCACTGCTTATTAAGTTGTTTTCCTCAGTAAATTATTATCACCAGGAGGAAAGACGTGTGTAGGTTTCATTCACTGGTGTTTCCCTAGTATCTAGCATAGTGGTTAGCATACAAGAAACTCAGTGTTTGTTGACAGAACAATACATAAATGTCATTCGATTTGCATGGGAAAATATGCTCAGAACCACAGGAGTAAATAAAAATTAAAAATACCACAACCACAACATAGCAGAAAATTAAAGGTATAAAAGGTACATTTCAAGTCAAAGCAAATAAAACCATCCAATTAGTTAAGTATCTACTGAGCACTGTAACAAGCAATCGTCTTTCATAAATACGCTTTTCTATCTCAAGAGAATGAAAATAAACACATTTCAGTATCTGTTCATTTGCAACCTTTTCCCGCCTGGTTCTTGGGGGTGTTTCACTTGATGAGGTGCTGATACTTCTGAACAGGATTGACCTATTACCGAACATGTACTCATCTTATTCACCTGAGCTACTTCTCCCACTCCCCACCCCTCCAAGAAGAAAGGCAAGGGTTCAAAGGAAGAACTGGAAGACAGTATGCTAAAATGTGTAATTATCTATACACTGGTCTGGGATTATGGCAACTTGTTAGCCCACTTTGCAGACAGCTGACCTTAGAGCTAAACAGTCAAACAGCCTGTTTGGACACAAGAAAGTGTCACCATTACTTGGTGGCCGTAAGATGAGAAAAGAATCACAGGAAAAGCTGAAGATTCTATACACTGATCACTATTCCAATTTCAGTCAGTTGTAGTATCTTGAAGTCAAATAACAGCAATGCTGGCTTTGAGGTGGTTTTGTTGTTTTTAAGTATGACTTTGCAGAAAATACTTTTGGAAAATAAGAAAGAATAAAATGGAAGCATAAAATCATAAACAGGTACCATGCAGGCCTACTGGAATGTATCAGTTCTGTAGTAAAAATGAAATAAAAGAAGATACTTACCACCACCAAGAATGTAAGAATCCTGGTGGTTCCCCCAATGTGATGTTTTTTTCCCATCTTATCTAAAATGAATAAAAGAGATATTAAATAGTTTTCTAATAATACTTTCTTCCACACATATACAAAGCAATGTGTTCCAATGTGAAATATTAAGGCAGTACCAAAGTTTGTCATCACTATCACATTATCCTTTACTCATGTTTTACAAGTACTCATTTTACATAGTAATTTAAGGACAAGATTAGTCTAGGAGAGAAGCAGCCTACCATAATTATCCTGAATTTGCTTCCCACTGTGCCAGTAATTAAGCTATTGTATCTTGGCTGCAAATCAATCCTACATTTGGAATGTTGAGGCTCTGTACACTACATTTGGAATGTTGAGGCTCTGTACACTACATTTGTGCTTTGTCAGCTGACTTCCTGTTGGCTCCATAAACTAAGAGAGGCTCTAAAAGGAGACTTCGTTGTTGTTAAGACTCACAGAAGGGTTTCGAGGGAGTGGCTGGTGGGTTTGAACCACTAACCTTGTTCTTAGCAGTCCACACCAGGACTCAAGAGGGAGACCAGAAGTAGGAAAAGGGAAGAAGAAACTTGTTCCTTCCTGTTAGATTGAGTTCCTGCCAGGGTTGCCTAGCAACAATGATTCAGCCCAACAGTAACTGCTGGTGACAAGACACACTACCTTTTTTCCATACCACCTGAACCTGCCTCTTCATGCCCTGTGAGATGTACCAGCACAATTGGGAACAAGCCTCTTTTATTGAGCTCTGGATGTACCAGCACCAGCTCAGCAGCTCTCCTTAGAGGTCTAAGACCAAGTAGGTTTCTCCTCCAATAATGTGATAATCACAACCTCTTCCTTTTGGTCTCTCAGCCTTACTGACTGGTTCCTGCAACTAATAATCTCATGTTACCTCACTGTCTCACTTTGCTTTTTTACCTGTCTACCTATTTCACTACATTACATTCTCTCTATGGAAATATTGAGTGTGGTTTTAATGATCATATCTGGATCCTGGCTGATGCATCACCTTTACCCCAACAAAAATGTGTTCCTTGTAAGCAGAATGAGTATGGGCTTAAACTTTGGCTTCACTACTCACTAACTGTGGGAATTTGAGAAAGTAAAGCTCGCCTGTGCCTCAGTGTCCTCATCTATAATACTGGGATAATAACAACTAACTACCTCATAGGGTTGGGGTCCCTGTGTGGCTCTGCAAGTTAAGGCACTGGACTGCAAAGTTGGTTTAAACCACAAGATCAGCAGTTCAAGCTCACCAGCTGCTCCTCAGAAACCCTATACAGGGTCATCGGAACCAACTAGACAGCACTTAGCTACAGCAACAACCTCATAGGGTTATTGTGAAAGATAAACGGATTAATGTAAGAAAATACTTTTAAAAACTACCTGGCATGTAGCTAAATGCTCAACAAGTACGAGCTGTGATTAGTTTTCCTTTACCTAACAAAGCATCTCTCAAAAAATACATTCTATTAGCACTGACTGTCATTATTTTTGCTGTGACGTGCCACTGAAATGGTTCCAACTCACAGAGACCTTGTATGGGGTTTCCAAGGAGTGGCTGGTGGATTTGAACCACCGACCTTGCAGTTAGCCAGTCCAGAGCTTAACCTCCATCACCACACCAGAACTATAGCACCGTCATTAGCACTCACACAATTATAGTGATCCCCCACGTAAAAACAGGCAAGTACTGGAGGATGTGTCAAGTAATTGTAACTTACAAATCAGAGTAAAAGTGTAAACAGTCTGGTAGATATGGTTAGGTGATGCACAATGAACACAATATTGTATGATAAAATAAGTTTCAATGGTTCAAAGTTTTGTATTTTATAAGATATTGACCATTCACAAAATGTAAAATGCTAAAGGAAATATAAAATCAGTGTACATACTAGAAAAATGACTTCACATAATTGTTTAGTAAACATCAGGTTTCAGTGGTGGCGCAGTGGTTACGAATCAGGCTGCTAACCTCAAGGTCGGCAGTTCGAAACTATCAGCTTTTCCACGGGAGAAAGATGAGGCTTTCTGCTCCCGTAAAGATTTGCAGCCTCGGAAACCCTGTGCAGGGTCACTATGAGTCAGAACCGACTCCATGGTACTTAACAACAATAACAACAACAAGCCCTACATTTATTAATGTAGTCTGAAATTATTTTTTACTGTTGTTGTTATTAAGTGCCATCAAGTCGGTTCCTCCCCATAGCGAACCTGTATAGAATTTCTGAGGAGCAGCTGATGAGCTTGAACCGAAAACCTTGTGGTTCAAACAGACTTTGCAGTCTGGTGCATTAGCCTGGTGCATTATGTTAAGATAATTGAAAAGTACACCCAAAACAGGATAATAGAAACAATACATGTGACTAGGGAAAAGAGCAAACAAAGTTGGAACTAACGAAAAATGCTCTAGTATCCTGGTATAAATGGGCGACCCATACAAAAATTAATCATTTAAACAGAAAAATTAAGTTCCCAATTAGTTTTTTTTTGTTTTTTTGTTTTTAACTACTCAGGCATATATAATAATTTACATCTCTAAAGGGCACATTCTGCAAGTCTGCTCCTGGCCACCAGTTCTTAGTCCTTCTCTTCTTAGTTGATGAATCTAGAGTCCTCAGCCACGCCCCATCTCCATGCCTCAATCTCTGCCTCCATCTCTGGCGCTGCTGCTTCTCTGGATAAGGTTCCACACTCTGCTTGTGCACTTCTCTCTTGATGGTCCTAGGGTCCTCTGTTTCTAGACTGTAAGATTTCCCAATCCCCTTTTTTTGTTACAAAACTTCTACCTTTACAAGTGTGACAGTCGCGATTAGTCATGATAGCAGTTATTCACTATTGAATCTTATCCCCATCTCCTTTCCACCAGACCCATCTAGACAAGATGATAGCTATTCAGAGGGGACTCTTTCTTTCTCCCCACCCTCTTAAACTAAGCTCCCTCTTGAAACCTTGTAAGCCAGTCACTTCGTGCCTTTATTGCCCCCTCATTTTAGGTAGCCAATGTCTAAGTTGCCCATTCCTATCCACCCTGTGTACAGAGTGGATTGAAACTTAATTTGAAGACTCTGTCCCTCTCTGTTGGTATTTAGAGTAACTACCGCTCTGAGTAGGAGGTCTGGTAGCGTAGTGGTTACGAATCGGGCTGCAAACCTTAAGGTCAACAGTTCGAAACTACCAGGCGCTCTGTGGGAGAAAGATGAGGCTTTCTACTCCCGTAAGGATTTATACCCTCGGAAACCCTGTACAGGGTCGCTATGGGTCGGAACCGACTCGACGGCAC